CCAACAAGGCAATCTCCGGAGGCATTGTCGCCTCTGGAAGATTCTGGTCATCCAACTCGAGAACCGTGTAGAAACCACTCGCATTGCAAGCCACATGTTCCGACCAAAAACACTCTCCATCGCCGACGGCTTCCAGATTCCAATCGAATTCTGAGGTCCATTCCTCACCTTGAAAGGAAATGTAAAAAGTGGTCAGAGCAAATAGCTGCAGCCTTCTGGCATCACTAAAATTCTCGTATTCTGGGAGACCTTGCACCCAAAGCAAAGCCAACGACTGGGGTGAATTTGGTTCCTCTAGCGATTTGAGGGTGTAGTCTGGGAGGATCCCAATCAATGAGGGTGATGGGGTTACTAGTGCTGCTGGTGTTGTGGGATACGGTGTGGCACTCATACCACCAGATTCCATTGTTGTTGTTGTCAATGCTGGTGTGGGATGTGGTGTTGGTTGTAGCGTTACAGGCGATAGATCCACGTTCGGATCGACATGAGGCGCTATTATATCCAGCTCTGAACCAGCCGGCGAAGGACTTGTCGTAGAGGGAAAGGGAAGAGGCAGGGATGTATCCAAAGAAGGATCAATGACAGGCGGTTGGGTGAAGACTGCAGGCAGGTCTGTGACCGGATTAATAGTGGGGACGGGAACGAACGGGTTGGTCGATGGGGCTCCTGTCGGTGCTTGTGTGATTGTTGTTAGGATGCTGGTTGGTGTGTTTGTCGTCGCAGGTGTATTGGTCGTTACCACTTCCTCGAAGGCATTTTCATCAGGGTTCGGAATCGTAATGGGATCTCCGTCGTCCGGTGCTGTAAAGTCCACCCCAGCGGCAAAACTTGCGAAACTTGGGCTGTTGGATGTGACACTCAATGTGGGTATTTCCGTGGCAACGGTTGGAGTCGTGGTGGTAACGAGAATTGTTGGTTTTTCCGTAGGCATTGGGGTCGGCACAGGAGTGGCCATTATTCCTGCCGTTGGGCTGGTGGTTGTCGGTGTCTCGTTTTCGGATGGTACAATCGGAGCCAACGTCGTCGGGGGTAAAACACCTTCATCCAAATCCCCAATACTATCGTCCAAGCCAGTCGGTGCCGTTGTAGCTGCGGACGGCACCATTGTCATGGCAGACGCCGCCGATAAGGGTTCGCCATTCGCCATGGCTTCAGTAGTGGCGTTGCTGCTGTCGTTGCCGCCAGTGGTGACGACAACGACGACCACAATGATTCCAATAATGACGACCAACGCCACGGCCACGTACATGATTCGAATCATGTTTGCCATTTTTCGTTGCTGTCCTTCCTCCATTTCGTTCGCGACGTCTTTTTCGATCATGGATTCGACGGGCCGGGCAGCGACACTGCTGTCGTAATGATTATTTGGATAATCTTCTTCGGCAATCGGTGGCACCGTCTTGTTGTTGCGAACAATGGTGGTGCCTTCTGTATTACTGTAGTTGTTGTAGCTATTGTTGTAGTTATGGCTCTTTTGATAATGCTGATAAGTAGGAAGAATACTGGATCCCATGGGAGGCACGAAAATGGATTTGTCGTCGTTGGGTTGCGGTGCCGATAATTGACTGCTGCTCAGCGTGCTGCTTTCACCGGCCGTATGGGTAGAACCAATTCCAGATCCCGAATTATTGGCGGCAATTTGACTGCCTCGAATGCCACTGTCACCGCTCATGGTGACACTGTTGGATGTGGCCACGACACTGCTATTGTTGCTATTGGTACCACCACTGATTCCATAATTGTTGTTGTTATGGTGGTTGTTGTTATTATTAAAACCAAAATTCAAATCCGTCGACAAGACACTGCCCGATTCTTCCTTGGTAGCAGGAGGTTCGTATCTACCCGACGATCCCGTACTATAAAAGCTGGGAGTGTAATCGTGGTGGTCCGTGGACAAGACGCTCGTGGCTTCGTCGTTTTTACTGGCCGGGGGTTCTTGGCCTCGAGGTGGAGGTTTCTTGTCTTGTTCTTGTACACTAAGTTCCTGATAAGACGGTAAATCACGCGAGGAATCGTCCAATAGGCCATCGTCCATGCGCAGCCAATTGCCAGCCGTGCTGCTACCCGATTCCAACGATGGACCGGGCAACCCATAACTGTCGCGTGGAGAATAATTGCTGTGCACTACAGTCGGTGAATCGAATTGAGAGCTCGCCAAGCTCAGCGTGTGACTTCGATCAGCACCTACATCATCATCATCATCGTCTTGTCGACGACCGCCGTAAGGATTGGGGACACCAGACATACTGCTGTGATGGCCAGAGACAAAATAAAATGGTTGCTGTGTTTTTGAAGTTCAAAAAAGTGCACCGGTTCATTCATTTTTTATTGACACGATCTCACCAAAGATCCGAGTGCTTGGTGAGGGTTCCCAAAATCCACGTCTGATTGGAACCGGTACACTTTGAAAAGTGTGCTGGTGAAGACAAACTATTAAATAGGAAGAGAAGCACATGACACTAATCCATAAATCGCTGGAAACGGTTCGGCTTGAACCAACAATGCAGATTACTCCAGTCTTGGATGCAATCCGCATTGAACACGCCTCCACCCAAATCTGAAGAGCCAAGCAAATCACAAAAACAATCTTGAAGCATACTACATACCACGCAAACAAAACATCCAAAAGCTTCGAGGCACGGGTCGTGCGGCTTTTATAAAAATAACTGGCATGTAGCGCTGTACTCCACTTCCTCGGGAGTAAAACTACAGGATCATACCGGTACCACAACAACGGGCTTGGCTCTTTCTAACACGGTACCGTACGGTCGGGGTGGCTCATGTATGTGGTGCCATTGGTTGGATGCAGAAAGGAGCGGCTTGCACAACTCGACTTTGCCAAAAGGAAAGGAATGCAGAAAGTTGGGCCGTTCCAGCAAAAATAGCCGGACCTCTGGCAACCCACTGGAGCAGATATCATATAAATCCAACTACGGGTCTTATGGCGGCAGTTGGTCTAAGGGTAACAACCACGCCTCCTTCATCTCAGTAATGAGTTAGGACAGGGGGTGTATCCTACAGCTGCCTTTTCGACCTAAGAACCCGTGTGGCTGGGTACCCAAGGGCGACAGAACCGACGTCCTCACACCGGAAGGATGGAGTTACTGCGCCATACACAAGGGCACGATGATGGCTCGTTCGAAGAACGTGCCACGGTCTGCTCATCAGCAAGTGTCAGAAGAACCTGCGTAGTAGAGGTGGATTTTTGGTATAAAAAGGATTGCAAAAGTCTTCCCTTGTAAACCTGAAGTGAGCCGGCAAGATCCTGGTGGTTGGAGATGCACTCACAGCGAAGCAGGCAGTCGGGAAAATGGAGGACCAACGGGCTGACTGGCTATTGCAGCTCTCTAGCTAGAGTAGTCTAACTAATGCGTCTATTATTGGGCAAAAGAGAAGTGGTGGGGAGGGGGGCTCTTCTGACCTCGCAAAGCCAGATACCATTTAGATCCGGTGCCGTGACCGTGTCCCCGTGTAACTAGACATCTAGTTAAACAGATCTTCTTCCACGACGGTACCAGTGAGTCGAGGCTCTTCCGGATCCAATGATGGCTCACATCGAAGATGTGGCCACGGTCCGCCAAGCAAGTGTCAGACGAGCCTTGAGGGCGAAGGAAATTCTTTGATATATAAAGCGAAAGGAAAGGGGGGGAGAGCGTGCCATTTGCATCCTTCGCCTGAAAACCTGAAACACAAGAGCACTCACGTTTCACGCACGTTCGCCCTTGCGGCGTTGCCAAAGCAGAGAGACGCACGAGCTCTTTCTTTCGCCCTTGCGGCGTTGCCAAAACAGAGAGAGAACCTGGAATTGAATGGTTAGTAAACTTGGTGCCCGAGGGTCCGTACAGTAGTTGAAGAGCCTCGGTGAAGGGTGAAGGTGGCCTACTCTACGAGACAAATGGTTCAAACCACTGATACCGACGGTCCAGAGACAGGCAACGAAGGATATGTCGACAAGCTAGTGCAAAGCAAACTGAGTTGTGTGCGGGCCGGCCGGACCCACCACCGTACCGTAGCTTGCGGCACGATGACATAACTGAGTTTTTGTGCAGGTCGGATGGACCTAGCTCTAGACGGCACCATGACCTGTGCTTTCATAAGCAAAACGAGAGAGAGAGATCTGTGAAACACCGAGAGCGCGTCGATGAATGAATCAAAAGCTCAGCGTAGATATTAGTATGGCACAAGCTTGCAAAAGCAAAACGAGGGAGGGTTGTATGACACACCGAGCGATCGCGAGCACCATCATGCGGGTCAAGTGGCGAAGAATCAAATAAAGCGAGCGTATAGAAAGAAAGAAAGTCGAAGATCATGTCACGGCAGGTGTGTCATACAACCTGAAAGTTGACAGAGTTTTATGCTATATAAAGTGTTTCTAACTAACTAAGGATCATTGGAGCTTCACATGAAAAGCTGAAATTGAGGTACGGGTGATCAATAATGGAGGGCACGAGCAGGCCATGCACTACAGTGATGGCGTACTTCCTTCGTCGCTGGCTCTACCGGTACAGTACGGTAGTACCACCCCGCCACTCTGTCCGGCATGTTCAGATTGGCTTCTGCCAGTATAGACAACGATCGGACTGCATGCAGAGACTCTGCACCATTGTGGACGGATAGAGCATGGATTGAGGTATGAATACAACTGCAGAATGAATGTAGATATGGCAAATTGATAGTGTAAAGTATATCTTTTGGAATATGCAATAAGTATAGCTTCCCAATTTTAAAAGCTCGGTATCTAGTGATTGTCGTTTTCATCAATTTGAACTCCACGATGCATCGCGTGAGGAGATGATTCAATCATCTGCCTCCGATTGGATTTTCGCGAGGTCTCAGAAGCAAGGCCAATAAGATACAGCCCAATTGCGACTACCGTATGGCTCTAACTGACACTTTGTTTTTTGGTGGGTGGTTCCTTGGCGTCTTGACCGGGGCTGTCTACTGCGGATGATGATGTTTTGCCGGATAGTTCCAATTTTCTCTTTTTCTTGGTTGGTTCCGTAGAAGTACTAGTATTTTCTTTTTGTTGTTTCTTTCGTTCCTTGGCGACTTCCCGATTGAGCCCCGACTGTACGGCCGCCCCCAGCATTTCGAGTGCCAATTTTCGTCGCTTTAGTCCGGCCAATTGTCCCAGTGCTTCTCGCAGCAGTGCCCGCGAAAAACAGTCGGGATTCAATCCATTGCCATGATCCAACAAATCGAGCAAATCCAAGGGAATCAAACACTCTTGCAAATTCTTGCGCAGTAACGCATCCGCCTTGACGACTCCATCCACTCGTTGCACAGAAGCAATCACGTTGTTAATGTGGCTGATCAGTTTCGTCGTCGTTTCCACGTGAATCGACGCATCGTCGTCTTTGGATTCGGGCCAATTCTTGACCAATTCAGTCGTCGCCGCCAAACGAGTAATCAGTTCGTGCAGTCGTTCTTGCAATGCCTTGGCACCGGCATTCACAGAAGAGCTCATCGTGAGTCAAGACAGCTCTTCTTTCTTTCTACTGCTTCCACAATCAAATTATGAAAGAGGGTTGGCCTCTTTTGTGCCTCATCGTGCCTCTTTTCGTTCGTTACAGTATGTCTCTAGCTAGTCCAGTCACGTTCATTCAGCTCCGCAGACAAATAAATAGGGTTGACGATACCGGTAGTGGCCTTTGGATGGTCAAATAACATGTGCACCATCCAGTTCTCCTTCTCCGGTCAGTACAGTAGTACCGGACTGTAAACGGAGGCTTGAAAAAAGGGGAAAAGACGAAATCTCCGACATGGAAGTGGATTTATTGGAAAACTAGATGATGACTCAACTGATCTCATGGATTTAAAAGCCATTTGACTTGAAGTGAATTACAAATAATTACAAATGCGAACCCAGACACCGCATACAGTACCGGTACGAGTACATCATCACCTTGATCACTTGCGGAGCTAAGCAAGGCTACAGAGCTGCTACAGGTAGGCGTGGTATATTGTGTCACTGTTTTATGCATACAGTACTACTCTATTAGCTATTACGGTAACTAATGTAGACCAATTAGTACCTCAACTACGAATAAAACTCTGAGTCTCTCACCTTGTTAAGTCACTTTTTTTGCTATCTTCACCGCCTCACCGGCGAAGCAATTTTCTGCTTGGTTGCTGGCTCCAGCAGGTCATCGCCGAGCACAAAGCCGCAACATGCAACAACCACACGCCACCGAGTTAAGGACTCTGCATACTCTGGCTAGCTAGCTAGCTAGCTATTTTTCACAAAAGAGCACCAACGCAGCAGCAACTGAGCAAGAACATGGAAAGGGACGCAGCAGAGGCGGTCAGAGCCCACGAAGATCACCACAATGAGGCTCCAAGAAACGATGGGGTTGTGGCTGCAGCAGCCATTCCACATGGGATCATGAATCCTGAACTTGTGGCAGATGGAGATTTTTTGATGGAAATCTCAGAGCAAGAGAAAGAATGGGCCCGTGCCATCAAAGCTGCCATTGAAAGTTGCCCTGACCTTGAGAAGCTATCAGATTTCGAATACTGCCAGTTGGCCATGATCGACCGGGACAATGTAAATGCTGCGGTTGACAGAGCCACGTCCTTACAGGGATTTCGACAAGAATATGATATCAGGAATACTCTGGAAGATGCACTTATGGCGGTCCGTCAATTCGTCTTGGCGATGCCCAGTTTGTTCCTCTCCTTCACATACAACCATACAAAGGGTGGTTATGTCACTATAACCGACATGACAGGTACCGATCTGCAGGCTTTGAAAACAGAAAAAGGTTGGAAGACACACATGGCAGGACATTGTTACATGTTGGATGCCATGAACCCGGACTTTCACAGTATCCGAACTGGAATTAGTTTTGTGGTCGAGTGCGATGGATTTTCTTGGGCATCCCACATGGACTTTGCCACATCCAAAAACCTATGCCGAGATTTTTACTCCTTCTACCCTTACAGGGCTCAGCAACTCAGCTACTTTCATACAAACCTCTTTCTCAACATGACAATCGCTGCTTGTCGCGCTGTTTTGCCAAAGTCCATCGCTTCCAAGTTTCAGGTAGGTTGTGTCTTCCCTGGTGGACGCTTGGACCGGTTTTACTCCATCCCTGATCAACATACTGCAGCTGAAAGGACAATTCATCGCATGCAAGAGAGCATCCGAAGGCGATATGCAATGGTTGCTTCGTATAAGCTTTAGCTAGTGCGAAAATTACTGCGCTTCATTCGTATTGACTTCATCTATTTTTGAACATTGGCTGGCTACTACATAAGCGACCACCTCAACGATCGAACACGGCAATAGACGAGGCCCGAATTGAGTCTTCCACTGAGATATTGTAGCATGCTAGCCGCTCAATGACGGAGTGCCGCGAGCACCGCGGGCTTAGGAGGCCAGCCAAGTTTACCGCTCCACCCCGTGCTCTTGATGTGTGTCCGTGGCTTGCTGGGCATTCCTTTCCGAAATGAGCCCTCACAGGGAAAGGAAAAAGCACCTTTACGATGTGTCGCAGGATTCTCCAGGAGAAACAAAGATCAAACACCAGACAATGGAACTGACGGCATTGCGTACAAAATGCATCCAAAGCCGGGGTATCATTTCCCGCTGAAAGGAAGTGTAGCCGATTGGTTGATCTTTATCTCTTCGGGGCAGCTGGCACCTGACGAAGATGACATCTAGCTAGACAATCACGCAAACAACGAGACGATAGATCACGATCGGCTTGAGGGGTGACGGCTCCAGTAGAACGGACGTTACCACGGGTGGTGGTGGAGGAACAAATTTACAAAGGGAAGACAGTGATGTTCGAGCTTTGAGGCGCGAACAACTTTCCAAAGGTTGGATCGAGTCTATTTTTGTATATGTATATTGACCAATTCGCTGGTTTGGTGACTGCCTTGTGTTATTGCGTACATACGTAGGATCGCCTGCAGACAGGACAGCCCGATTGCGTCTTGAGCCACTCCAGAGCACAAGACTTGTGAAAGATGTGGCTGCATTTGAGGTTGGGAGAGCTACAAATGGTGTCGCCCCGTTGGTAGTCGCCTAAGCAAATTGCACAGCAGCCAAAGTTTTCCCTGAGAAACCGGACAGGGGGTATCCCGGATTTTTCATCGCCACGAACCACAAGTACCTCGTCAGTTCCCTCCACAACTCGAGCGTGCAACAGCTTGGTCTTGCCGCATTGGTCGCAGCAGGATTCTTTGGATGCTGCCGTGGGCTGTCCAGATACACTGGATGCTGATGACGACGCCGGCGATTGTTGCGTGGCTTGATGCTCTGTGCGCGGGAAAAAGGCTTTGATCACTTTCTCAATGAAACAGCCCATGTTCCATAAATATACGATGGTCGCTTGCATGCAGTCCACGAGCACTTGCATGCAGTCAAGAAAGAGCTCCAGAGCGAAGATGAACAAACAAAAGGCATAACACAAAAGAAACGCAATGACGACCACGAGCGAAAGGATCTGTTGGTTCAGGTTGGTTGTTTTGGCGACTCTCCGGCTTGTGGCAAGTCCGGAAACGAGACAGGAACCCAGAAATTCCGTTGCTGTAGTCAGATGGTCCAACGTCTTCTTTTGTATCATGATGGTTTTGTCGATTTTAGTTGTTGTTGTGTTTTTGTGGTTGTTGGTGGTGTGGGCCTTGCATCCTTGTGAAACGGGGCCTGGGAGGGGTGTGGGAAAACTTCCAAACTTGCATCATCCACGACTAAATCAAAGGAAGTTTTCTGAAACAGCAGAGCTGTAAAGCAACAACTGAAGAGCGAGCCGAAAGTTTGTACTGGTCGCAGCAGTACGATGCTGTACCAGGGCAAGGTAAAGTACTGTAACGCTCGCAGTACGGTACCGGTATCAAGTGCTGACATGAAGATACCGCAAGGCAAACTGGCCTTGGCGGCCTAGATACCAGGGATGTTATCAACGGTGCTTCGATTCCATGATCACTTGCGGCGTTCGTCGACAATTGAATCACTCCTTCTTTTCAGCGTCCTCTTCCGGCCTGAAGGTGCGGTCAGCAATATGCCGCCGGCTTTCTCGCCGTCAATCGGCAAACCATTTTCATTGGAGTTCCATTGCGAAAGACACATTGAGGTTGTCAATTGAGCTCACTAGCCTAAACAATTACGACAGCAGCCAGCTCCAGAAACTTGCTTCTTTCTTCCCCTTTCATCTTTCTCGAGAAAGTGCTGATGAAGGAGGCAGCCAGCTGCAGATGCGAGAAAGCCGTGACGGGTCCATCCATGATTTGTAAGACAGCAGGTGCAGGGTATGTAGTACCGGTGACAACGCTGTGAACGCAACTCACTTACCGCAGTGAACCGGTGACTGCCAATGGGACCTGTTGGTGAACACGTGTCGTAACTTGAGAATTTATTCGCGCGACCAGCTACAATAGCGAACGAGCACTAGATCTACGTGCATACCGGTAGTTCGGCTTTAGGTTTCCAATCGGCCCCGGAGTTTTTGGAAGAACTAGCTTCTCGCCAGCACCTGGGTGGAGGCTTCCATCCCTCTAGAGAGCTAGCTGTTGAAGATAGCTCCCTTCTGGAAGCAAACCTCCAAAGCAAGCCCCCAGAATCGCACCTACTATCAGCCAGGAAGAGAGGAAGAGAGGTCTGGCTTAGACCGATGGTTCATCTTTTCAAAACCTTACATGTAGCTGGATCAACGACGTCACCCCTTCTTGATTGCCCAAGCTTTGGGAGTTCCTTCTTCAACCCCGGATCTGTTCTGATCGCAGTATGTTTGTTTGTTTTGCTTGTTGCGCATTTGAAAACTGCATGCAGTCCACTGCAAATCTGCTGCAAATAATGATAGCTCAATGATAGCGGTATTGCAGTAATTGTGGAGATGCAATTTCCCCTGATGAGACAGTTGCCCGAACAACTCGCCGAACTCTTGATGGAGACATGGAGGCCTTTCATTGATTGACATCCAGCCATCAATCGTTCCGGGACATGAAGAGAAGAAGCCCTTGGCCGAACCAAGCTGCATAAGACCTCCTCCTCTATCCTCTGCTTCTTGCAGCCGCTGCGAAAATGTGTTAGATCCAAGTCATACAGTACCGGCGACAAAACAGCAAAACAGTTACAACTTCACCTCCATCTGCTCGTACCGGCACAGTGCCGTACGTACCAGGTATCGCGCAGCTTGACCACCATTGCCACCGGTACATTCCAGAACCCTGAAACGAGGATACTTAGGTTTTGCTAAACCGCAAGCAGGATGCTACATGGGGAGTAATTAACGGGTCAATAATGGGTCAAGACACACGTCCAAGTGTGTGGTTTATAGCAGACACGTAGACTCCAGGTCGAGGTTAAATAATTATTGTAGTACGGTACCTCCAAATTTCCTTTATACCAGTGTAGCTTCCATTCGATTGGGTACTAGCTAGCGTACTAGCTAGTACGGCTTAACCGGGTAGTGTACCGGTATCATCGACTGTGTCCAAAGCGGGGACAACAATTCTGCTCTTTTGTACTGTATACATGTATACAGCTAAAGTACCCAGAGAGTAAGTATACTAGTTAGCGTAAATTACTAGCTAGTACATGTACCGGTACTATATAGAAGGTTAGTACTACCACCGGTACCTTTACCATTCCAAAGCCCACCCTTCCCTACCGGTAATTCCCGTAGTATTTAGTGTGACAAGACCCGGAAGCCAGGAGAACGGTACATAGACAAAGGGTTCTGCAAAATTGTTTGTATTCGCCATTCGCGTGGCAGCCCAGGTACCGGTGACAACTTGAGTCTTCTTTCGCGACAGGCCTCTGATGATTGGTGGATGCAGCTGTGGATGCTCTCCCGTGAAAAGATAGATATTCCAGCGCGGGAGCTACAGTACGGTACGTATCCACATGTGCGAGTGTCATCGAGAACAACGCCATCAGGGTTTTTCCTTTCTCAATCCAAGAGTTCAACGAAAAGGAAAAGATAGCACCAACCAACAATTTCGCTCACAAAAAAAAATTGGATGATCCCAATCTGATCAGAAGAATTGGATTGAGGACTTGAGACTCCTATTTTATTGCAATAAAAGAAAACCAAAAGATCACCATGAAGTTGTGTTTTGTTGCCGTGGGCGCTTTCATGGCCCAGGGTGTGGCTGGATCCGGTGGCGGTGGCAGTACTCCCTTTTCCTATTTCGAAGCTCCCTTGTTTGAAGCTCCCGATCACGCACATGAGGTCAGTGCCGGTCCTTCTCGCTGGGGAAAACTTGCAATTGAGCATAATCAGTGTGGTGGCATTGGTCAGGCGACGGGGTACGGGCAGAGTCCCATTGTGGTGCCTTCTTCCGTGGCGACCAACTGTGATACCAGTTTGCTCGGCTACGAATTTGCCAGTGGAGATTGTTTGTGGGAACAGTTGGAATTTGAAATCAATAATCGTGTCGTCAAGGTAACGCCACACTCCTGTACTCTTGCCCGATTGAAGGTTCCTGGAAATGACCAATGGTTTGAAGCTACTGAGCTTATTGTCCGTGCTGGATCTGAGCACGGAATTGCTGGACAGTTGGATTATCCAGCCGAATTGCAAATTAAGCACGAACTCGTAGGTGGCCATGGTGATGGTCATTCTGAGGAACACTCTGAGGAGCATTCAGATGAACACTCTGATGAACACTCTGATGGCGAAGAACATGCTGATGGCGAAGAACACTCTGAAGGAGAAGAACACTCTGATGGAGAAGAACACTCTGATGGAGAAGAGCACGCTGATGAGGGTCATGAAATGGAAGGTGATGACCATGGAAACAGTACTGAAACTCACGAAGAAGCCCCCACTGAAATGGAAGATGAAGGACAAGTCGCCGAGGTGGCTACAGGTGATCAGACACGAAGAAAGCTATCGGGTGGAGGCGGACATGGTGAGAGCCATGGTCCCATGGCCTATTTGGCTGTCTTCCTCGAGGAAGACGCCGAAAGCCTCGGTCATAACACTTTCGAATATTTTCTGTGGGGATGGGAAAACATTAATCTGAGGGCGCAAGAAGAATGTGCTATCGAACCCAATGGCACTCAAGTTTTCAACATCAATTCTTTTATTGAATCTCGACAGGAAAGGCTCGAATGCGGAGTCGCTGGTGCAGGTGTCATCATCGACAACATTGTACTTGACGATGAAACGGGTTTGCCCGTACTCAAGGAAGTCGATGTTCCCGATACTCTCCTCCCCAATCTCTACGCTAACTTGACTCACGGAGATTATGGACTCTACACATACTTGGGCGGTCTCACCGAGCCTCCATGCACGGAAAACGTGCATTGGAGCATTCTTGACCAGTCCATGAAGGTCTCCAAAAACCAAATTGAGCGCTTGTACAACCTCATCTTGTGTCACACCGAGGTTTCAACCTGCAGGCACGGTACCGTGGCTAGCGAAGCTGGTTTCACCACCCGTCCCTTCCAAGCTCTTCGGGACCGATCCGTCATTCATCGTTGTCCCGCATTTGAAGAGGAAGTCACGGCGCCCTTGTTGCATTCATCCTCTCCCGAATATGAATTCAACGACGTACACGCACATCGATGTGCCTTTGGTGGAGACGGAAGTCCGTTGGGAAATTGCTGGGCTCCTTTGCACGTCCACAATCACTTTGCGCTCTTGTTCCCATGGTTTGTCATGGCGCTCGGAGTCGTCTGCTACTACGTCTTGACCAGGTTCGCCCACGTGTTCCCATACACTGCCGTCATGTTCTTGTGTGGAATTATCATGGGTATCGCTCTTGTCGGCCTCGAGAAGACTGATCAGCTCTCCATTTCGATTCGCATGTGGACAGCAATTGACTCTCATACTCTGGTCATGGCATTTTTGCCAGGTCTCTTGTTCCGAGATGCATACACCACCAATGTGTTCCTCTTCATCAAGGCTCTGCCTCAGAGTCTTCTCTTGGCCTTCCCCGCAGTCTTGGCAGGAACGTATTTGACTGCTTTGGTCGCTTACTACATTTTGCCTTACGACTGGAGCTGGTTCTTGTGCCTGACCTTCGGCTCCATTCTGAGTGCCACCGATCCCGTCGCTGTCAACGCCTTGCTCAACGAAGTCGGAGCTCCACCACGTCTCAAGACTCATATCTCCGGAGAGTCTTTGTTGAATGATGGTTCTGCCATTGGTAAGTCTTTCTTTCCTCGTCATCTATTTTAATTCTTCCGAGTGCTACACACGCACTAACAATTTTTTTCAGTCTTTTTCACCATCTTTTCCAACATTTGGCTGTACGAGCTCGGCATTCCTGGACTCGGTAGTGACATTGACTTGGCCGGAGGTTTTGGACTATTCTTCAGAATGTCATTGGGCGCTGTCGCTGTTGGTATTGCATTTTCCTTGGCCCTTCTGGCGTTGGTTTACCTTCTCAATCGAAGATTCAACTACGAGGAGAGCATTGTCCAAGTCACTGCATCCATCACGACTGCGTACCTCTGTTTCTACGTCGCCGAGGCTATCTGCACCATGTCAGGTGTCATTGCCGTTGTAACGTGCGGAGTCATGACCAAGCTTGTTTCAGGCAGCATTTTCAACGATCCTGATATGATGGAAAAGTTCTGGGTGCTTGTGGAGCACATTCTGAACACCCTCCTATTTGTACTCGGAGGAGTTGTCTGGGGTGTTATCATCTCCAATTTGGATCCCTATCACGCATTCGAGATCAAAGCGTCAGACTGGGGCTATTTGTTCATTGTTTACGCCTTCGCCATGCTGATTCGTGGTGGTCTTATCGCTATCTTCTACCCTGTCTTCTCGATGCTTGGACTCGGAAGCAACTGGAGAGAGGCTTTGTTTATGGTTTTTGGTGGTCTCCGTGGTGCCGTCGGTATTGCGCTCGCCATTGCCCTTGACAGCAATGTTCAGGCGAACACGTTCCTTGTTGACCCTCGTCGAAACTTCTCTACCGAGTTGTTCTTTATGACTGGAGGCATTGCTTTCTTGACCCTTTGGATCAACGGAACCCTCGCAGGCCCATTCCTCAGGAGTCTGGGTCTTGCTGATATTGGCGAGGGTAGGCAGAAAATCGTTCATCAGTACGAAGGTGTCGTCAAGCTTAAAATGTTCCGATTCTTGTTGGAGTTCTTGGGAGATGCAAGGTTCGCCATGGTGGATTTCAAGGTCGTCAAGGCTCACATTTCCTTGTTCAATGACCTGAATTTGCACGAAATGCATTACGCCGTCAAGCACCACAAAGAAAACACGCCTATTTTGGAGTATTCGGAACCCAACCTTTCTTCTTTCAAGCCCTTCATGGAAAAGGATGAGTTCCAATCGTTTGTGGATAGCTCCAAAATCAATTCTGGACAGAGGCTCCGAGCAGTTGTGGGCATGGCCGCGCTTGCCAACCTAAACGTCAAAGCAGGTGAACAAGCCCTGGCCGACGAAACAGCCGAGGTCAATCCCGATCACATGTTGGAGCTCCGCAAAGTCTTTGTGGAGTTGTTGGGTGTCGCTTACGAAGAACAGTTTGACAGTGGCGAGGTCGATGTCCGAGACAGCCTCCTCGTCTATGCCCTCAAGGCCAGTGTTGACTCAACGGCGGACAAGGTATCCCAAGGACTTCCATTGAACGATTGGGAGGAAGTACAAAAGGTGTACAGACCAGGATGCTTGACTACTACCGAACGAAAGGCTTCCAAGATGAAACATAGCAAATCCATGAAAAGCGTCCGCAACAACGACCTGGAGAGCCAGGCAGCCACTGCCAAGTTGGACTACAGCGAGTACGATGAGTACTACAAGGTCAAGTCGCTGGCAAAGCGTGTTGTCGCTTATGTGGAGGCCCACCAACGTGCGCAAAAGTTGTTCAAACAGGAATTCGGGCACGGCAAGATCATGTCAGTGGACGAAGTGGCTCTTTTGACGGAGAGCGCGGACTTGGTCCAGGAAGCGGAATCCACCCTCAAGGATCAAAACCGAAAACATGTGAGGCTTGCAATCAGTCACATCCTTTGTGACATTTTGCTGAGCAAGGGTGCTGAAGTTGTGGGTGGATTGACCGAGAAGGGATTGTTGAGAGACCAAGAGGCCGAGGAATTCCTCCACCACATTGAGCACGACATTGATACCTGTGCTGTTTGCCTCGGTGAAAAGTGTGACATCAACGTCAATTCTCATTCGGCTCACATGAGAAAGTCGACGGCTGGCGGACACAGCACCCCTTCCAAACCATTCAAGAAATCGACGGGAAGTAGCGATCGCACCGATGCGACCCGTGTCTCTGGCGCTGGTGTTGTTGCTGAGCAACCAAGGCCACCCATGTTGACCGATGAATCTTTGGGCAACGTTTCGGTCTAAGCATCATCCCAAGCATCGGGCTCGGGTGATGTTCGAACGAACGTGGATGTGTTACATGTTGAAAATGTGCGAAAAAAGATGATGCGTGTCAAGAAAACTTACTACATACATAACAATGCGCTGTGGATGCCGTTGCAACCTCCTTGAGAAAGCGGAAAGAACTTGAAAGGGATCCACTGAATGAGCCACTGATTCATAGAGCTGGTAGCTAATGTGCAACTACTATAGTTGATGCTGTGTTTACTTGTGGTTTTTGTAGAACTTTTTTCTGTTTGCACCGCAGCAAATAAGTCACACCACAGAGGAGATCCATTTGTTGCGTTGCTTCGTCTTCTTTGCCGGTATGGTCTCCACCGGTGCGTACCGGTACGGTAGGGAACAGCAACTTTCAAAACGGAAGAGACGGTCGTTCGTCTCTCCCACCAACGAGCAACGCACGGAGCAGGCGCTGCAAGCTCTGCATGGTGCCCCAAGCCGAAAGGTACGGCAGGCCGAGTTCTTGTCATCTCTACGCTGCAGCCCAGTGTGAGTTGCACTTTCGCTCGCAGCTTCCTGCAGGCAGCTGCTTCTCCACGGCGGCGGTGTTCTTTTGGAGGAATGAATTACAGAATGCATTCGACTGCACCGTGCACCGTGGTGGCATTAAAATTTTTTCGACACCACTGTGCCATGGAGTCGTGCTACTTTCGTCTCTTAAATCCTTTTGATCGTCTCCTATTTAATGGATTTCGTCTCCTAAAAATAGGAGACGAAACGGATCATCTCCTAAATCTTTTGTCTCCTCTTAAAACGTCTCCTATTTTCAACGGATCGTCTCCTATTCTCAACGGATCGTCTCCTAAGTGTACCATGTAAACTGTATGGTATCGTCTCTTAAATCTTTCGGATCATCTCCTATTTCGAAATTTTCGTCTCCTAATTGGAATGTCTCCTACTGAATCGTCTCCTAAATATAGGAGACGATTGCTTTCGTCTCTTAAATCATTTCGATCGTCTCCTATTCCTCGGTGTATCGTCTCTTAAGTATTTTGCCACGAATGACGTTTCCACAGAGGTCCTTGAGTGATTTCTCACAATATTAAATGCCATGGAGCTACATGTAAGTATGTACACACCGTAGTCTACCACGGTTTCTTACAAAAAATCCCAACTTTCCGGGCGCAGCCCGGAAAGTTGGCGGGGAGCCTGGAGAAAAGGAGGAGAGCTGGGAGAATTCAGATAGTTCGTGTTGGAGGTTAGTGCTCTGTTTACAGGTTAGCTTTCCAGGAGTTTTCCACTAGCTTTCAGCTTTGACCCAACATCGTGATGGTTAGCTTTCCCAGTTCTCCAGCTAACTTTTATGGCAAGTTGGCTGAAGCAAGCAGTTGGTTTTGGGAAAGAGCCCTATTTTTGGGTGTTTGCGAGCTATTTGAACAGGCAACGAGGTCTCCCAGTGAAGGTACTGGAGCTACGTGGAGCTCCCAGTGAAGGTACTTGAGCTACATGAAGCTACTGGAGCTATTTGAAAGTGCTCAAGACCTCTATTACTGGTAGGTCTATTACTGGTGCTTTTCAAATAGAGAAGAGAACCGATAACCAACACCAACAACAAACTTGGCTATTCCTGTTGCTTTTCAAACAGAGAAGAGAACCGATAACCAACACCAACAACAAACTTAGTTGATACTAGCATTTTAGTACTATTCTTCCTGTACAGCAACGAAAATGAGTCAAACAACTAATGCATGTAGTAGTCAACCTCTTCGGGAGAAGAAATTGGGAGAAGCACCAACATCTAATGCCACAAAGAATGCTGCTATCAAGCTGTATAACAAATATCAAACTATTCGAAAAGAGCCTATAATGGATCAGACGACTGCTACTTACATTGCAGAGGATAATTTACAGGCGCATCTTACCAAGTTCTGTTCTTGGCTTGCCAATATTAGCATTCCCCGTGGCTTTGATAAAATTGAATTTCATTCATGGTCAACTCAAGAGCGTAGTAAATATCTGAAAGCATCAACCAAAGTTGAATATGCTGGGAAGGTTAAGGAAGTTTTGAGGGAAAAGTTTCCCAATCATCCTCATTGGAATGATTCTCCAAATTAAAATTGTCTTTGGATATGCGTCCTCCAGCCTTCTAGAACGGCCCCAGGATGAACCCATTTGTCCGGATTGTTTGCATCGAAAAGCTTAGCTCTTTGGGCTGCTTGAAAAAGCTTTCTATATACTTTGTTCGTAACACCAAAGTCATCTACCAGAGCAGGAATTGCATAATGAGCACTGCTGTCACTGTGCGAAGAAAAGGTCGTAGATGTCTCCAGATTGAAATTGTGGCAGCTGATCAGAGATTGTGTACAACTCATCAATGAATCTGTCAATCATTCCACTCTCTTCAATTTCAGATCCCAAACACTCAAAGTTCGGAGGGGTGTAGGGGCAAGGTATACAGATTCTTGGTAGCTATTTAGAGCTTCTGCCGCTGAAATTGACAGAACCAATGCATTCCGATCAATGTAGCTCTCCTGAGAAGTTCAAATGAGTGACCTGATCGCACATGTGATGCATAATAGTCAATTGCTGAGTGAGCAGCTAGGAAGTTGATTGCTCCCTTTCGCATTGATTTAGCAGAGAAGCTGTTGCGAACTTCAGTTGATACCTTGGCTGGAATGAACTTCCGAATGGTGCCAGTAAGCTTCTTTGTGACAGAAGAATCACTGATTTTGTGGAGCTTGGAAACACCCTTTGTGCACGTTCGAGCTCATCAGGACGTCTAAACAAGCCGTCTTCCAAGAGATAGTAACAACCCATGGCATGGTACCAGCATACTCTGTAGTTATATCTGTGTGGCATCATTGGCATGGAGTATGTGTTGATAGTTTTGATATTAATCCATTGGGTATCCACTACTTAAAAGTATGGATCCCAAAGCCAGTCACTATAGGAATTGAATTTGGCTTCACCACCACGAGCAACGGCATGCCATGTCATTAGTAATTGAGCCCGCTGCTCATAGATACCAGTATATCCAGATCTCGTATCATCCTCTTTGATCATGCTTTTAATGATTGCATTTAGATCCACTTTTGATATATCGCCATTGATAGCTCTGGAGTTTGGGTTGTTGTGTGGCACTTCAACTGGTTGATAGCCAGGTAAGTTTTCAAGGTACAGTGGTCTCAGTGTTGTCGTTTCATCTTCATTATTATTTTGAGTTCTTGTAGCATCTTTTTCTAGCCCTTTTCTTATGACGGACCACCAAGAGCTGTCATCTCCGATGTGAC